CTATGCTTCATGCTTCTAAGCTGAAATCTTGGCACACTGTCAGCTCTCTCTCTGCGGCTTGATTGGCTTTTCTCAGCAGCACAATGTGCCCCCAGTGGCCCTTCTCTTAAAGAGTTTCATTGCACCTCCTTGAACCTGGATTGTCTTCGCAGGGATCACAGGAAATTTTCAGGGAGTGGAAAGGATCTAATAAATGACTGCTTCCTTTGTAGCTGTATGAAATTCAATCCCTGGAATCTGACAGGAGGCAAGACTGCCTTCCTTCAAATGCAGGCCCATGCTGGCATGGTGAAGCCCAGGGACCTTGGGTCAGGTGACCCCCAGGAAGCTGAGCCAAGACACATGCTGTGGGATCCACTCTGCTCTTCCTCTTTCTTAGCCGAAAAGCATTAGTGAAGTCTCTTGAACACTGTCTTTCATTAATATGAGTGTAGGGAGCAGAAACACAAGCATGTTCACTAAAAGACAGTATCTGCTCAAGTAAAAAAAATGTCTGGACTTTGGAGTTAAACAGACTTAGATTCAAATCCCAGCTCTTCCACGTACGGATTGTGTGGATGAAGCACAGAAACAGCAGCAAGGAACTCAATCTCTCTGAGCTTTAGTCTCTTTATCTGAGAAATGGGATAATCATAGCATCTACTTTATGCAGTTCCAATGAAAATGAAATGAAAGAGCAATGTTGCTGTCATTAACCCTCACTTGATAATTTTAAAATACAATATTTTAATTTATTTGGGGGTTTTGTTGCAGTTTTGACAACAAAAGAGTTCAAATCTCTTTCTTGCTCTCTAAGCCAGAGCCTTTACTCAGAACTGATTTATACTGAGAATGATGTTCTCTGATAAAAGCATCTATTTAGTTTCCAACAAAATTTTTTTTTTAACCCAAAGGACTGTGTTTAAATTACAGATCTATTTTAGATCTAATTATCTGATTTGTTTAGCATGGTCCTTCTCAAACTTCATTTTCTTCTAGGCAACAGGGTCCTTTTTTTTCAAATGAATTCTCACTTGGAACCCTGATCTATTGAATAAATAAAAGCAAATATGCCCGGGGTGGAGCTGCAGCTGGAGCTGGGGGAAGAAAAGCAAGTTTCTCTTTGGTTTCCACTTGAATGCAAGCTCTAGAGCAGCAGGTATTTTGCCTGTCATGTTCACTGCTATATCTCCAATGTCTAAAATAAATAATGCCTTACATTAACAGGGCTCAACAGAGATTTTTGAACGAATGATGGAGGAATAGCATATGAAGAAGCCTGGCACATAATAGGCACCCAAGAAAATCTTAGTGCCTCTTACGTAACTAAAACCCTGCAGGAAGCTGAGCTCACACGTGGGAGAAGACTTATGTCCTCCCTTCTCACCCACCCATCTTCTTACCCCTCTTGCTATTCTCTTAGACCAGTTAGGTGTGTAATGGGAGACTGGCTATGCCGAGAGCAAAAAAGGCACCAGATGGAGTGCCTTTGGCCTCGTCATTTCTTTCTCACCTTCCCCAAAACTGGGCATATGACAGAGCTTGCAAAAATCAGACTGAGCACCTGGTTAAGCCAGAATATTCACCAAACACCCTCTTCAGTAACAGTGCATCACTAAGAACAGACACAACACATTTGGCTCTGTAGTCAACAAGTCAAATTTGAGATTTGGACAAATTAAGTTAACAGGCAGCCTGATGGAAAAAGAACAAATTCAAACTTCGGAGTCAATAGGCCCCAAGTTCCAGGTTTGCCAGCTACTGCTAGGGTGATCTTTGGGTAAGACCTCTTTGATCCTCAATTTTTTCGCCTACAAAATGATCTTCCTTCCTTTTCTGACAAAAAATAGTGCCTACATCATAGGTTTATGTGGAAATTAAATGAGCTGATTAGCTAATTGATTAACAAAGTGCCTAGCTCATAATGAACACTCGACAAAAGCTCATTTTCCCAGAAGTCTCAGAACAATCCTGTCAAGATAAACTGTTTTATATAGATCTTCCCAAAGCAAAGATCAAAGATGTATACTACAGAAATTCAGAGACTCGCTCAGGATATAATGGAGGCATGTTTTAAGTGGTGAAATCCTGATGCTCGTACGGGGAGGAAAACCAGGATTCCTGAGTTCCCTGAGTGAGAGGTAGGCAAAAAGTGCGAGGCACTATGTGTAGTGGTCAAGAGTTGGACACTGAAGTCATGAATATGTGACCTGAGTCAAAATTCCAGCACTGGCATTTGTCGATACTTATTTTTTCTGGACCTCCATTTCCTCATCTGTAATATGGGGATGATAGTAAGAATTCCTGCTTCAGGGGGCTGTTTTGAGGATAAAATGTGATAACATATTCAAACTTTTTGAATGCGGTAAGAGCTCTACATATAGTAGTTATAATTATTAGTATTCTTGAGATTAACATACCTGGAAAGAAAGATTGGACTAGAAAGAGTGGCAGTTTCTTCAACTCTAAACAGGGGCAAAGACTCATTTCTAGAGAGGTGTTTCTGCATGGATCCTGAGTGTCAGTCTTATATAGAGCTCATTCTTGAAAAGGAAAGTGGAAAGATGGTCATGGGAGGGCCCTTTACCTAGCAAAAGTTGTCACTTTCACTTTCTTGAGTTATCTTGACAACAACTTGTGAAGTAAGCAACCTGAGTGTCTTAAGCTGGTTCGCCACAAGCAGACACTGAGATAGTTTCATGTGCACATGGTTTATTAAGTAATTACTCCTGGAAGAACTGGAAAGAGGGGGGCAAGT